AACTATGAGTTTTCAACCAAATGAATCACCAACCAATGATTGGATCCACTCTACTCAATATATAGATACTCATGGAACCCTCTAGAACTTAGAAACTTCTTGTGCACAAATCCCTTGTGTTTTGGCATGTGTAACTTCATACATAAGCAACCAATGATATCTCTCAAATTTTGACCTAAACTCAAAAATCCACTATTGCCAATGGTCTTAAAACATTCTTTCCAATCAAAATGACCTATAATTTCATCCCATTTGGCCATGTTATGAAAAATCTCATTTTTAGGTCACTTTTATTCATTAAATTCACCTTTTAATTAACCAAATTTTCAATCTTGAGCTATGAGCATTTGCAAACTCCCATGCCCACTTTTCTAGACTCAAAATGTCATTTGGAGCAACTTTGATGTTGTGAAGTTTTTCATTTGAAGCTTCCTTGTATGAGTTTTAGGCACATGCTTGAAATGACCTGTAATTCTCAAATGACCAAAATACCCTTTGCTTGCCAAGGTCATAAATAGAGTTCCACAAATCAGATGAAGGCATACTATACCTTTCTAGAAAGCTAAGCTCATGAGTAACAACTCTCATGTTGGACAGAAATCCATTTGAAAATTCCTTGAGGGGTAAAAGTTGCTTGGAAGACAAGTAACTTTCACCGACAAAATTTCAGATGCCTCAGATGACCTGTAACTTGCAAGGACCATAACTTGAGTTCTATAAATCTCCTTGATGTCTTCCACCACTAAAATTAAAGGTATTGAGATCCTCTACAAGTTTCATGTTGGCCAAGGATCCATTTGAAGCTTGCATTTTGAATTATCTTGCTTGGAAGTTTGACCTAAACTAGGGGATTTTACACAGAAACCCTAATTTAGAAACCCCTTTTCTTCTTGATTTCTCTTGATTTATCCTTGGAACAACAACACATCCATATCTACATGTCAAATGATGAACCCCACATCTCTCAAATAGACCTTGATGCCTTTCAATCAATCATTTGACCTAGGGTTGACCTAGGGTTGACCTAGATGAAACCCTAGTTGACTGTCTTCAACTGCAACTCTTATGATCACATCAATGACTTGTCTCACTTTCAAAATGACTCTTTAGGTCCCCCATGATGTCTATATACCCTCCATGACCTCAATTCCTTGCTCACAACTTCTTTGATGATCCAAATACACTCAAGATAGGAGATAGATTCACTGCTTGATCCACTGACTTCTTAGATTTCAATTTCTTTCTGATGACTTGGCTAAGATTGAATTTGAATAATAACCTCTTGATAGGCTCATAGAGATAAGAATAGTACTTGGTCCCTTGTTGGATGATTTGCTATGCTATGCTATGCAGATGAATGAATTATGTACATGACCTAATATGCAAATGACAATGCAATTGAAACATAAACCAAGTGAAGTAGGTTGAGCAAATTTTAGGGTGCAACAGTAGGCACAAGATGCGATATCTTGACGAGCAACCTTCCCCCTTCTCCCACCTTTTAGTTTGGATAGAACCAATTGGTCTTACAACGTAGAGCTTTAGGATAGAGTTTGGTTAACTCTATGTAAGAATCATGGATATGATTACTTACTTCTCTTTCTTGAGAGTTCAACATAGATCTAGAGAGTTTCGTGAAACTCTACACAAACATTGTTATGTTTGTCCCCCTTTGAACTTTGATCATAATCAAGTGTTCTTCAACCCTAGTGAGGTGAACTACGATTGCTCTGATTCTATCCTAGTTAGGATACGTAGGCATAGGACGCGATGTCTTTGCGAGCAAACTTAGAAACTATCTTTAGGTTTTAACCTTCATCCTTTTACCCAATCCCAAACCATAGCAAACATTTACCAAACTTAGCATGCAAATAAACAAAAGGTTCCTGTAGATTACTACATATGTTTAGGATGTGAAATACCTACCCTAGGCATAACCAACCCGCGATCCCCGAATCTCTTAGCGTTGTTGTTACATCGCGCAAAAGGTTCTTTCTTTCTTTAGACCTTTCCTTTGGATAAATTAAAGTCCGGTTGTGAATTTAAGAATTAAAGATTCAAGTTAATCAATAGCTTGGTATCACGATTCTCACTGCAACAGGAGTGTGCCTGATTACACTGAGCAGATGTCGTGTGCCCGTGCCTTTCTCCCACTCAAGGGGAACTAGGCGGTCAACCCTTATAGAGTCTATCTCGACCGTCTGGCTGCTGAGGACATCCGCTACAACGTCAATGCTGATCACTATGTGACGCGCCCGTTTGATGACATCTCACTATTCTCAAGATGGTTGGTATGCAGTTCGACCATCACTATTCCATATTTTCCCAAGCACATCATGCGGTCGTTCGGGTACACATAGACGATAGACAGACACCCAGCTGTCTCCGCTCCTCTTGGCTTGACCCGTATGCAGATAAACGAGATCTATGCTGACTATCAGAGACACATGGTACCAAACGAGGCTCAGGCGACCAGAGCACCGAGAGACTGGAGCTGTGTTGATGGCTACATCTTGTGGTTCTTCATCGTCTCACACCCATACATGGTGCCCATTGCAGAAGGATCACCACCCAGACCAACTTATTAGGAGATTTTAGAGGAGCAACAGTCTCAGTTGGACCACACTTAGGATGTCCTGCCTCGCTGTCGTCAGATAGTAGAGATGGGACGAACAAACATTGACGATGGTTTCTTCCCTGAGGGGTCTGACCACAGGCGTATATTGGATGATATGCTTGCGGTGGCCGAGGGAGGCACTTATGTACCGCAGACATCGCGCCAGGACGGGTGGGATTGATGGCCGAGGATGTAGACCGAGCGGTCGAGGAGGTGGTAGAGGCAGACGAGGCGACAGAGACATAGGCAGAGGAAAGGATGTAGATATTGTCAGGCACACAGAGTAGTGATTGCGGTATTTTTTTTATGTACTATTTTTTGATGATGTTTATGACATATAACTTCTTATATATATATATATATATATATATATATATATATATATATATATATATATATATATATATATATATATATATATATATATATATATATATATATATATATATATATATATATATATATATATATATATATATATATATATATATATATATATATATATATATATAATTTTATTTACGAATGAATGTTATTTTATATTCATCTGCAATAGTTAGTTTCCAACTGCGACCAACGAAACTGAATTTTTTTTTTAAAATCTGTTCTGACAAGATTTCGGAGATGCCTCTACGAAACTTTTTTTCCGTAGACGTGTCTTCGGAAGCATCCAGCGTAAAGAAAAAAAAAGGGTGCGTCCGGAGATACAGCTCCGAAAGCAGGGGGCATAAAAGGAAATGCGCTAAGTAGCTAAGAGTATCAAGGAGTGAATTAAGAAATTGTCAAGAATTTTATAATCATATGTACTTGATTTCAGGAATGATATATTAACAAAAATCTTCACACGAAAATACATTAAGATTCTATTTAGAAGTTGGTTTTGAAAGATTTTTGAAGAAAAAGTTTTAATGGGTTGCATATATATATTTTAAAATGTTTTTGATATTTTAAAAAATAAAAAAAACAATATAATACATTAACCTATAAAATTATATTATTTTTTAATTTTTTAAAAAATATCAAACACATATCAAAATATAGACGCAACACTCTATATTTTTATTCCTCCAAAATTCTTCGAAAACAAACTCTCAAAGATACCTTTAAAAAAAACTTCTCGTCAACATATTACAACAAATACAAATATAAATTTCTACTTTATGCAGTATTGTCCTTAAATTATGAACTTTGAAAGTGAACAATAAATTAATAGATAACATTCAAGAAGGTTAAAAACAATGTTTTAAAACTCTGATTATTCCATTCAGTCCCATCAGTTAGATTATAAACTAGAGAGTAGAACAACCAGGTAAAGTCATCGAACCATAGTTGTAATTGATTCTGCAAAAATCGATGTGATCCGGTCGATTCATTGGTCAAACCAGTGAATAGGTGGGTATCTTAAACCGATAGATTAATTTTTTTATGTTTATTTTTTTTTATCTTAATTATAATTTTGATTCCCTATTCTTATTTTTTTTAGGTTGTGGTGCCTATATTTTAAAATTCAATTTTATTAATATTTATAATTATATTAATTATTTATAATAACTAAAAAGTTTTAAAATTGTAAAAGTAAAATTTTGTCAAATTTTAAGAATTAGGTCTATATCCTTCCAAAACTAGTATAATGGTAGTTTTATAAACTGCATCCGGTCCATTGGACCGACTAATTCGGTTCAGGGGTTAATTATGACATCAAGTGTTTTTAATCTCCTTTCAGTTATAGTTGCGGGGGATCAAACTATGATCTTCTCTATTAAATCTAGTGTCAATCATCTTTGAACCAATTAACAATTAGTTCTTTAATATTTAATTTGATCTAAGAAAAAAGAGTTATATATTCTATAATCAAAACACTCTTCTTTAATACAATTCTCATTAAACTTATTTATTATTAATCATATAATAAAATAATATAATAAATTTAAAAAATTAAAAAATTGATTAAACAAATATAATATTACTATAAACTAAGAAAAAATTTGAAAATAAATCATGTTACCAAATAAAACAAAATTATATTTTTAAATCATTAAAAATCATCCGGTCATCTGTTCAGTAACCCAATAACCTAATAGGATGATGAGATCTATGACCTCGAGTTTTAAAACATTAATTAAAAGTTGAATTTTCAATTTAACAATATTTTAAAACAAGCTTAGTTAAAAAATATTTTAAAACAAATAAAATATTCCTATAGATATGTGATAAAAGTAAAATATAAGAAATTAAAATTCTTTAACTTATCTAAAAAAATCATTTCTTAAATCTAAATTGATAAAAAAAAAGAATGAATTTGAATAATAGAAATTTCCCCCAAATCTAAAGTGTGCTTAATGAACGAATCGATTTGGGAATTAAGCAGAAGTGTTAGAAGAAAATGTCGAGAAGGAAACCGAAAGCAATATTCATGGCCTTCGGAACTAAAGGCGATGTTTACCCTCTTGCTGTATGTAACTTTGCTTCTTCTTGTTACTGTTTTCTTTATATTTTATTTTAATTTCTGTCTATAATCAATTTCCCTAAATGCCTTTTTTGTACCGTTTGCATTTTGAAATTCTGACGGTACGAGAGGGTATTTTCGGAATTGCCGCCAATTTCTTGTTTAGTTTCTCTTGAAAAGTCTGATTAACCAAAATTGTGTTGATTTCAGGCCATTGCAGCAGCTTTTGCTAGTGATCAGAAACAATACAATGTCATTCTAATAACTCATTCGGCACACGAGGTTTGCGTTTTATAACAATTTTACATAGAGTCAGTTACAGCTTTAGTTCAATATTGCAGGTTTTCTTTAATAAATTTTTTTCTTGCAGAGCTTAAGTTCTCACTTGGGTGAAAAACACGTTGAGTTTTGCGCAGTTTCATCGCCTCCGGTTCTTTCTGCGGATCAGAATGATGATATTGAAGGTTTGAGCTCTCTAGTTCTTTCTAGTCAGAAAATGTGGAGAGCTGTTATTAGATGAGAATCTGTTGTTCTAAACTTCTAACGAGTCTTTTACTTTATCAGGGGAGGCAAAGTCATCGTTTTTATTGCAGAAGAAGAAAATTACCAGAGATCATAGACGGGAGTGTTTTTCTCTAATTGAAAGGATATTTGGAGATGAACCAAGCTTGGATGGGGATCTTATTGTGATAAATTTTTTTGCATTGGTACTCGGAATTGAGAACTGTAGTTGAGATTTCCCTTTTTCTTTACAAGTTTTTGTGTTCATTGGGAATGGCTTATGAAAACAGCTTATTGCTTATACAAAAGTAATTTAATTTAACTTTACCTTTTATTATAGAAATAGCTTATACATAAGTGCTTATCATGAAAAGCACTTAGCTCTAAGCTGATAAGTAAACTGCTTATCACACGTAAACGATATTTGATTCCACTACGTGTTTAAGTGATCTGGTGACTGAAGAGATATTTATTCATGATTGTTCAGGAAGGGTGGAGTCTTGCAGAGTGTTTTTCTATCCGCTGCATTGTAGCTGCACCTTATGTTGTTCCATACAGGTACTTCATAAGTTCACGAACCTACTTTAATTCAGTTTTCGAACCTACTTTAAGAACACATATCGGTATTTTAACCATCGATTTACTATGCAGTGCACCTGCAACATTTGAAAGACAGTTCCAAAGAGAATTTCCTCTTCTGTATAAATATCTTATTGAAGCTCCTGCTGGTAAGGTATTTCTGTAGTTTCTATGTTGTTATTTATTTTTATTTTTTTTGCTTTGAAGTCCGCTGCATAAGTGATTATGTTTATTTTCCTGCTTTAACATAAACTATTCCCTTTATAACAGACAAACCATGGTGTAAAATAAAGATTAAAATTTTCTAGCCATCTTGTTTTCCTGCAGGTTTGTTGGAAGGATGTGGATCATTGGATGTGGCCCCTTTTCACAGAAAATTGGGGAGCATGGAGAAATGACGACTTGCATCTGAGTCCATGTCCCTTTACTGTTAGTGTTTCCTAGTATTTTCCTTCACTTCATCTAATAAAATTAATTTATGGCAGCATGTTTATCCTTCAGGCGTGTATGTTTCAAGAGGAGTTTGAAGCACTCGTATTCTATGGAACTCAGATCTCAGATGAGCACTCTTTTCTTTTTGTAATTTTATTGATTTCAGGATCCAGTTACAGGCATTCCTACTTGGTATGATCGGCCACAATCTCCTCTTGTGATGTAAGTAGTGGATTCTGAATGCTAAAATTGCTTTCAATGAAGTTCTGTCACGGTACTTACAAAATAGCTCTATATTGATATTTTTGGCTAAATATTTCATGCCTTATTTGTGCATTTCTCAACAGGTATGGCTTTAGTAAAGAAGTTGTTGAATGTCCTGGTATGTTCTTTTGTCTTTGATAGAAATTCTTTTACTCTATGCCCTTGCTGTATATAGAATAGAATTAATGTTCCACTTCCTATGTAGCTTAGATTATCTTTATAGCGGTTGTGTAGATTCAAGTACATATACATCTTGAGAAGTCATCATTAATAAAAGTCACATTATACTACTATAACAACAACAACCAAGCCATTATATTTCATGCCTTTAAGTGAGGTCGACTACATGGATCTAATTTAGCCATAATGTTCTATCTAAGACCATGTTTCGATCCAATTCCTTAATATTGATGTCTTTTTTTAATAGCTTCTCTTATAGTTTTTCTAGGTCTTGCTTTATCTCTAGTTGTTTGACTTCTCTCCATCTGATCTCCTTTCTTTACAACTGAATCTATAGGTCTTCTCTCTACACGTCCAAACCATCTAAGCCTATTTTCCACCATCTTTTCTACTACATGTCACAAGTTATAAAATTTATAAATAGCAACGCAGAATTAAGTCATGGCTTTTTTCTACTTGCGAACTGATTAGCTCATAATTTCACTGAGTCTCATATATATTTAATCCCTAAATTTTAGGGATTTAGGTATTTGAGTTGTATTTGAATTGTGAATACTGAATAGTGTATCTTTATAATATATAGTTCTGAGAGTGTTTCCCTCAAATAACCTAAACATTTCAAGTCTATAGTATGCATTTTGTTTTAGGGAAAAGTCTATAGTATTCTTGATTTAAATTAGTTTTATCACTTGATTCATTTGAATGCATTTACAGCATATTGGCCATCAAGAGTGCGGGTTTGTGGTTTTTGGTTCCTTCCTATTGAATGGCAGTTTTCATGTACGAAATGCAGAGAAACATTGTTATACAATTCAGCAAGACATCAATATGAAAAAGATACCTTATGTCCCCGTCATTTAGAGTTGCAAAATTTTGTAAAGGCTACACCGATTTTCATTGGGTTGAGTGCTATTGGAAGGTACATCTTGTTCCAATTTTGTGTCATATACTGTAACACATTACAGCTGATTTATTCATTGTAATTATATGTATTTTAAACCTGACTTTTCACTTCTTTACTTGCAGCATGGGTTTTCTAAAAGATCCTCATTCATTTATCAGTGTTCTTCGGACTGTCCTGAGCACCACAAATTATAAATTTATTCTCTTTACAGGTGGATATGAACCTTTAGAGTCGGTGGTTCGCACAATTGCTAGCGAAGCAACATTAGACCAGAATAGTTTGAGTGAAGATTGTCTCTCTCTTTATAATGGCCGGTTGTTTTGTTTTTTTAGGTGAGTTTTCTCTAGTTACTTATACAAACTTAAAGCTTGACTGGAAAACGGTTTACTTGCACTAACCATTGAAGTTATGGTTTCTTTGGATCTACTCTAAAACAGAAGCAAATGCTAGTTAGTTAGCCACTCTTTTTATATATCAAAGAATGATATATTTTTATATAATATATACAGTTCCATACCGTATAGTTGGCTTTTCCCAAAATGTGCTGCTGTGATTCACCATGGTGGCAGGTAGGAGAATTTGTATTTTGATCTGCTGATTGCTCTGATACTATCATTAAATTGAATCGAAGTATTCAAGAGAGATGCTTTCTAATAGATGTTTTTCGTGTGGAATGATCGTCCCTAATCAGTGGAACTACTGCTGCTGCATTACAGGCAGGCACACCACAGGTTAGTAATAGAAGATGATTCTCCTATTTGGTTTTATTTATGGTTGCATGAATATTCTCTTAAGTCTATGAATATCATTTGTGTTAAATGTGTTTTTAACTTCTATAAAATCACGACTTTTTTAGTTTAATCTTATCAAATTTTTACTCTGCTTTAGTCTTCGCCTCTTAAGTGATGAGTGCTGAGATATATCCCTCTTATTTATCTCTTGTTAAGGGATCTTGATTGTAATCGTATGGTTATTCTTCAGTTTCTCCGCCTAAATTGCGGCCCGCTCCTAGTTGCCTAAATTGCGGCATTTGGTTTGCCTTCGTTGCAGCCTCCAACACCTTCATTGTGTTGGGTTTGAATGGGTGGATTAAGTCCCACATTGTTTAGAGATATGACCTTTGTTGTGTTTATAAGTGGGGGCATCCTCATCTTACAAGTTGGTTTTGTAGGGTTGAGTTAGGCCAAATCACTATTCTTAAGATTGTATCAGAGCCTATCCTAGATCACGTCTTGGGCTTCCCGCATCGTCCACGTTTCAGCCTCATTGAGGCCCAAGCGTGAGGGGGTGTGTTGGAATTTCTGCCTTCATTGCGGTTTGCTCCTAGTCGCCTAAATCGGCATTTGGCTTGCCTTCGTTGCAGCCTCCAACACCTTCTTTGTGTTGGGTTTGAAGGGATGTGTTGTATTTATAAGCGGGGGTAATTCTCATCTTACAAGCCGGTTTTGTAGGGTTGAGTTAGGCCAAACCACAATTCTTTAAGAGTTATAAATAGATAAAGCAAAGAGTTAGTTTCTCAAGAAATTCAAATCTTTGATCCAATGTCAAGTTGGTATCAGAGTTCACATCCTGTGGGCTGATAACCCTAGTTTTCTTTTTTCTGCTAGTCTCTCTCCGACAACTTATGCCATCAATGCACCACTGTAAAGGGCCTGACTCACGGTTACACAGGCTCTTGGCCTTTACAGTGCATGAGGTCAGCACAACACCGTTTGCGACTTTGTTTTCCATTCCGTTTGTCCTGTTCAGTTTGTCTGCGCTTCCTCGTTATCCGTTAACTCTGTTCTCTTCGTGCACGATTCTTTTAATTTTATTTTAGTTCGTTAGTTCATTAACAGTTTTAATTGTTCTCTCACCTTTACTTCCAGTTCTTAATGCATATAGAGTAGAAACACAGGACAAACGATTGGCACATGATATGAATCACAGTCACTACTATTTTCAGTTTCTAACATCTGTGGTTTGCACTACTATAGATTCTTAAAATACAAGAGAGGCTGGTATCGAGCTATTACTTTCACTACATGTGAACTTATTTTGTCGTAAACAACTTAATAAGTTTTGCAAGTCCAAGTCAATGAGTCTTATTTGTGATAACCGTCCAGTCCAGTTCTATATATCGCATCCAGTCTAGTCTTCCATGAGGACATAGAGAATGAAAGTCACTTTATCCATGAGAAGATTCTTTTCAGGAAGATTGTTACATCCTATGCGAAATCTAACTTTCAATTTGCTGATATTTTCAGTCTCATCTTTTATATGTACCAAGCTTTTTGAATGTGTCTTTTTTGCAAACTTGTAGGTAGTGTGCCCTTTTGTGCTAGATCAGTTTTATTGGGCTGAAAGAATGCATTGGCTCGGTGTTTCACCTGAACCGCTCAGTAGAAATCATTTACTTCCTGATAAAAATGACGACAGAAGTATCCAAGAAGCTGCACATGTACTATCACTTGCGATCCACGATGCATTATCATCGAGAGTGAAAACACGAGCTGCAGAAATTGCTGAAAAAATATTTCTTGAGGTAATAACCATTCTTAAACTACATGATTATTTTATTTAGAGATATATCACATACACGACGACCCTACAACTTGCAGGATGGTGTATCAGAGACAATTAAGTACCTCAAGGAAGAGCTGAGCTTGAATTGAGATATTCAATGAAAATGTTCGAAAATTCACTCCTGCATTTCTTCTCCTTAGGTCAAATTCATTGTAAATGTGTATATTAGACGTTTGGAAATGATTGTGCGCACACATTCAGTCCATTTGTGAGTAGTTGTCATGTTGCATGTTTACATTGTTCAGATTTGGGTGTATTTTGTGATGTCTATAACTATTAATTACTTGATTTGCACTTGGTTACGTATTGAATGTAAAACTGATAGACTAGGGAGTTGGTTGAAGATATTACTGAAAAGAAGACAGTTTCAAATGGTTTTTGACTGAAAAAGAGTTAAGAATTCAGTCTTTACTATAAGATCAAGTGTAGCTGTGCATACATTATGGCTTTACAAGAATGTGTGATCATGAGGGAAATTCTCATGCTTGGGATTTTCCAATCCTCTACCATGACTAAAAAGTTGTTTGACACATGTATCGTTTACCATTTGACCTAACAACCGAGAGGGAAAAGTCCTTAAGAAGGGAAAAGTCCTTAAGAAATACGCTTTGATATTTAATAACTTATGTTTATGATTTTATTTATTTTAAAATGACACCCTTATTTTATTCTATTTATTAATTAAATTTAAATTCAGTTCTGAAAACTACCCGATAGGAAAACTAATTCTGCCTTTGATTTTGTTTTATTTATAATTAAAATATAAACCAGATATTTCTTTCGGTTTTTACTATTAACTGAGAGGAAAACTCCCAACAATAATATTTTCCAAAATCGTAGTGTTTGCTCATTCATTTTTGCTTTTCTTCTAAAAATTTTAGCCTTCGTGAAAAGAGCATCTTCTTCATCTTCTCTGCTAAACCAATTTAAATTTTATCTTCTAAGTCGAATGAAGTAAACAAAGAAGGAAGGAAACTCTAAACAAAGCTCGAATGAAGCTCAAATAAAAAAACTCAAAACTCATATCAATTCAGTTTTTTGACTCTCACATCACGTTTTTGGTACGTAAATATTTTTTTCATGATTGTACTAATAATGTTGTTGTTGAGATATTTAAGGTTTAGTGTTATTGTTGATTTTGAGATTGAAGGTTTAATTTTATTGTTTTTGTTGTTGTAGTTGTAGTTATAGTTATTTTGTTGAGATTGAAGGTTTAATGTTATTGTTGTTTTGTTGAGATTGAATGTTCATTGTTTTTGTTATGTAAATTTGTGCAATATTTTGATTTTATTTTTAGAAAGTACATAATTATGGATCATAGTTGGATGAAAGTTAATAAATTAAGTGTCGGGAAAGAGGATGAAGTGCTCAAATTTCTTGAATTCGTCGAAAGAAACCTTTTTGACAATAAATAATTTTTTTCGTCGTTGTAAAATATGAGAGAATATGAAAAAATGTGGAAAGAAAGAAATATTTAATCATCTATGTTGTGATTAAAATGCTTTATGTAAGGTTGGAAAATTTGAAAACAAACAAACTATTTATACTATTCAAAGAAGTAAAAATATTTATACTATTAATTTTAGTTATTAATTTTAGTAATTTACCTTCAAATGATGTTTCTCTAATAAGTAAAAGATAAAAATTATGACTATGATAAATGAGAATAACTCATATTTACATGGATTATTTAAACAAATTTGTCCGCAAGAAATTAGTAAATGATGTACCAAACTTATGTTTTTTATAAAAATTGATCATGTAATACATGTCAAAAGGATAAAATAGTAGATTCCTTTTCTAAATCAAAAAATATTATTTTTTTAAATGAAAAATGACTAGATATTTCATCTATGATCACACGTGGAATTCCATTTCTTTTAATGAAAATGTCATATAGTATAATTTTATTCTCCACAAACTTCATAAAAAATGGGGTAGAATAACGAAAAAAATAGACCTTTTGAACAACTAGTAAGGAAAATGCTCAACGAAACCTATCTAAATATTTTTAGGTTGTTGTATTAAGTACTTACTGCTTTCTATGTAATGAATAGAGTCTCAATAAGGTAATTATAAAAATTATGCCTTATGAAATATATAAAAGAAGAAAGCCAAACATTTTTCACCTCAATATTTTTAATTGAAAATGTTTTATCCATAATAACAGGAAGGATAATCTTGATAAATTTAATGCTTAATTGAAAATGTTTTGTCCTTAATAACAAGAAGGATAATCTTGATAAATTTAGGAGAAGAAATTGTTTGTATTTATAACAAACAGTGACGTAGAAGAATTCACGCGCGCATGCTAGCTTTGTGAAACTAACTCCAAGTATATAGTAGAGGTAAAAGTATTTGTTATTGCATTTATTAAAGAGAAAACTCTTTTAAAAGATAAAGATAAAATTAAAGACAAAGACAAATATTTAAATAGAGACAAATAAACAAATTAAGATAAAGATCCAAAGTAAGAAAAGAGTGATGATAAAACTAGCAAGAGAACTAATCATGTCGAAGTAGTAAAACTAACATCGTCTCCACATGGATTGCTTATTTTGAAAAGGTTATTAGTGTGCGTTTAAAAATAAAGTTTGGGTGGTCTACAAATAGTTTTGTGAAAATAAATAGTGTGAATACAAATAATAATAGATACGAGTTTTAGAAAGCGACCAGGTTTCATTTCGAGTTCATTGATTGTCACTGTTGGTAATTGCATCTATTCTCTCGAAGTGATTTTCTAAAATTTTGATAAATTAACTTGACCTTTATACTCAATTCCTTGGTGTATAATACACTCTTCTTAACAACAATCCTCTAATTAGAGGAATTCAAAGTAAAAATAGGCAACGCTCATAAATTTCTTGCTCACAAACTTATAATTCTCTATCCCTAGTTAATTACTAAGTTTGAATAATCATTTTATTTCAGGTTCACAACATTAGGGTCAGTAATCGCTATGATCCTAGATTCAATTCATATGCCCGTCAACACATGAAAAAAATTAAGATAAAAAATAATTGAATAAAACTAGCATATCTAATCAATCAAATAGTGCAAAGCCAATTATATAGTTCAACTGAGCCAATCAACTTCGTCTAACAAAACCTAATTAAAAGTTATTTAGCTACTCATAGTTTGAGAGTTTCATTGACGTATTTTGGCTTAGTTTGAGAAGAAATGCCCTAAATTTACATACCTTGTTTATATAGTATCTAGTAGTTAGCTATTTTGAGATGTCTATGATTACATTTTGAAGTAGATGATCTCTTGTCATTCTCAACTCTTTAGGTAGATTTTGATGGGTTTCTTCCTTTGTATCTTTGTCATTGCATAATTTTAATGAGCAACTTAGATATAATTGAGTTGTTTTCGAGCAAAATTTGGTTTAAAGTGAACAAGAAATGAGAAGAATATAAGAAGAGAAAGAAAAATATGAAAAGTGGACTTAGAAGAAAAAAAGAAAGCAAAATAAGCAATTTAGCCCATCAAATTATCGTGGCCGTGATTGCTCTATCGTGGTCGTGATAGCTTTTCATCATGGTCGTGATGCCTTACATCGTGGTCGCAATGGATAACTGAATTGACATGATTTTGGTACTTTAAAAGGAAAAGAAAGGAACTTTTGCAAGGGTACCAAATTTTAGAGAGAGAATTGGACGTCAAAGCAATATTGGAGCTCAAGAATTAGATTTTTCAACCATTAAAGACCTTATTCTTCATTGATTTCCATGTATTATTAATCTAAACTCATGGTAATTCATGTTCCTCCAAATTAGAGGAAAGTACTGGAACAGGAATATGTGGACTATGACGTGACCGTTGATCAAATAAAGAGAATTATAGACTTGGATTCCTCGATTAGGTCTTGAACTAGATTTCCCAGACGAGTGTGATTTTCTTCTCCAGCCAAGTTATATTTATATATATATATATATATATATATATATATATATATATATATATATATATATATATATATATATATATATATATATATATATATATATATATATATATATATATATATATATATATATATATATATATATATATATATATATATATATATATATATATATATATATATATATATATATATATATATATATATATATATATATATATATATATATATATATATATATATATATATATATATATATATATATATATATATATATATATATATATATATATACACATATGTTGAAGAATCCCCATCAGGTTTTATCCTCTTGTTGCGATTTCAACAATATTCTCCATTAAGAAATTTTAAGAGGGCAGACAACTGTTGGATTTTCTCTCACCATTTGTTGAGTTTTAAAATCTCCTGCAGGTTGATTTGTTGCTATGATGTTAACTTCTTAAATATTCCCTGGCATGTCTAGGATGTTTCTCTTAAGACTGTTGATCCCCAGAGAGTTGCTTTTGGTAATCATTAACAAATCCATATTATCCCAAAGTAGATTCTTGCAAAGTTTGTTTTTTTGGAAGACTCATTTCTCCAACCCTTAGCAAAGTTAGCACAAATGTTATCCCTTTCAGAGGTCGATATCCCCTAGAAAAGCTTTGCTTCACATTTTTCTTAGCATGTCTTCATCCTTATGCAACAGATTCTATGAGGACTTCTTTTCTTCCCAATTAGAGTTCTGAAAATCTGTGTTGCATGATTCCTCCTAGTGGAGTTTATATGATTTTTTCTTATCACTAGGAAGAGTCAGGAAGATTTGGGATGAAATTTCTATTCCCCAGAGGAGTTCATATTATTTTCCCTTCAATAGATTATTGGTAATTAAATATTCAACTTTGGGTTTCTCTCCCCAAACAGTATCTCTCCCTCTCCAGAGATATGAGCCTTGTAACAAGATTTTGTTCTTTTTATGGCTCTTATGTATCTCTAGCTGAAATCCCTGAAATTTTATCTTTTAGCAATATTGAGATTTAGCCAAGTATCCAGTTGTATTGTGGTGATTGGTCGCCCTCAATTTATCTTTGTGTTTGTTTTGTCAACATATACATGCATACATTTATTCATTCATACATGCATCATGCAAGTTCATGTTCATTATGCATTTCTTGGTGCTTT